TCAAACTCACTAGGATTAGTTATGACAATGAGTCCTGAGTTCTTGAAATTGCAGTTCCAATAGTTTCTTCCATTAGCTTGGTAATAAAGATTCATGGCTACAGAAGCATGGTTTATGAGATTACCGGGCGACGAACATGGACATCCATTCGAAAGAACGCGACAATCGACATGAGAACACGCGTAATTTATGTTATCTAAAAGTGTTGCTTGATCCGAAGAAGGTTTAGCCACACACCAAGTCTTCATCTATAACAATAACTTAGAACTAAACTCATTGAGTAAGCAAAACAAACAGCATTTTACTTATGATTAGTATAGTCTAACCATTTACCTCTGCGTTGACTTTGGTGAAGTTTCTTGCTGTGAGAAAAAAAAAAATATTGAAGATGAAACTTTTGAGTGACATGTAATGTAAAATTCAATAAGTTAATTAGTTGTGATTAGATTACCTGATGAGATGTAGAAGAAGATGAGAAAGCAAAAACACATCCATGCATTAGCCATTGTTTGATTTTGTCTTAAGTGAGAACTCTTCTCTACAATCTTTTGTATATATAAATGATAAGCAAGAATCATCAGTGATGAATTTTTCTTTTATTTAAAAACAAATTAGAAAAAGAAACAAAGAATATATATAGGTTAATACTAAATAATGTTTTCAGGCTTTTAAGGTGAATAATCCAGCAAATGTTGCTTATAGGTAAAGTAAGAGTTTTAGCAAAAGTGTCACTATAAAGTATAAACCGTATTGTTAGTGATTTTTGTATAAAAATAACGAGACATCAAAACGTGAGCTGAGCTGTAAATTAGGGAAATATTTAGATCCAATGCTCATTGTACGAGAATCTTAAGAAAAAAGAAATGTATAAAAACCTATAAAAACATGGCTTTTTGTGTATTATCCTTTAAACAACAAAAAAAAAATTGGTGTATAATCCTTGATTCCTTTATAAAAACAATTACATAATTAGTCTTGTATGTTAGTAGTATTAAATTACGTTTTAAGTTAACTTTACGTATCTGAGAAGGGCTGAAGTCGCCGGACGTCGGCCGCCTGTCTCTATCCCACTTACCTTGTGGGTTGAGATTGCAAATGGGCCTACTTGAAGAGTCTATAAATCCGGCGGTTTCGCCCACCAGTTATGCATCGGATCTCTCTCTGCCTCACGGTAAACTGACCGGAGCCATCTCCGGTAACATACGGCAGCCGCAAATTTGGTCTTGCCCGATGTCGACATTGGATGCTGAGATTCAAACTTGGGCTGGACCCATGAACCTGTTCAAAATTGGGCTGTGCTGGATAGGCCCACTTCTATTGATTTGGGCTTGGCCCAGTAGGAATTTTAAGGTTGGATTTGGCCCATTTCTAATGTTTTTAAAATGCAGATTTTCAAAAATCTCACTTGCTTTTGAGCTTGTTGAATTTCTTTTTTTGAAATGAACAAAGTTTTCTGGATTCTCAAATCCTGTAGTTTTTATTGATGATATCTCTTCCAGTACAAGAAGACAAAAGTTTTCTGGATTCTCAAATCCTGCAATTTACTCCCGGTGGAAGAGTTTAATTCCACCTTCTTTCATCCCTTTGAGATTGGTCGTATCGTCTTCCCTCTCTTTGAGAATGGTCGAATTCCCAAGCGTTTTGCTGGGATCTTCAAAGTCACATTGCAAAATGATCAACCTGAATCTCTCCGGCTTTGCCGCATCCGAAACATGTCTTGGATCCGCTGTCCATCTCTCGCGATGAAATGTATATCTTAAGTTTAATTGCACTTCAATTATGTTGTAATATGTTTAGAGAATGTCTAATTCCCTTTCTCTTTGTATTGTGGGAAATTTAATGAACGAAGAAAGATTGTGAAAAAACAAAAAAAAAGGTTAAATTTACAGTCCAGTTATCAAAGAAGCGAATCTCAAAGTCTTTTTCTTCAGTGAAACTGAAATTTGATTTGTTCAAGAAACAAATTTTCATAATGACATACAAATTTAAATAAAAATTAAGCATCGAGAAATCAAAAGGAAGAACGTTTCGAAAGTCTGATATATTCGAGCAACTTGACCACCTCGGTCATGGTCGGTCTAAGAGCCGGTTCCGGTTCAAGACACATCATTGCTATACCAAAAACATCGTTCATTTCTTGAACCGGTGATCCTCTTAACCGGTTATCTATCACCACCTCTTCTCTTTGGTCTCTTACCACTCCTTTTACCTGTATACAATAAACGACACCGTTTTAAAACCGAACCAGAGGATTAACTTATAACAAAATGAAAAAGAGAAAGGTAACTTGTTACCCAAGTAACAAGCTTTGTTCCTTCTTCAAAAAACTCATCATCGGTTGGTTTTCTTCCTGTTAAAAGCTCAAGAAGAACAACTCCGAAACTATAAACATCGCCTTTCACTGTCGCTTTACCCGTATCGAAATACTCTGTTTAACAAAACACACATGAACAAAATCAAAACCAAACTAAAATTTTGATTTATGGATTTGGATTTTGAGTCTATATCTAGAGCAAATGTGTTTGTTGTACTAACCAGGAGCTAAGTATCCGAATGTTCCAGCTACGAATGTCGAAACATGAGTCTTATCTGGCTCCATCAAAGTGGCTAAACCGAAATCCGAAACCCTAGCTTCCATGTTATGATCAAGAAGTATATTGCTAGATTTGATATCTCTATGGATAATGTGAGGGATACAATCATGATGAAGGTAAGAAATCCCTCGAGCCGCTCCGACCGCGATTCTATATCTCGCCCCCCAATCCAAAACTTTCCTATCTCCACATTTTCTTCCTACAAATAACAAAAACAAAAACTTGCGGTTGAAGAAACCGCGCAAAACCACGTTTTTCGAATGCAAGATTTACTGTTTTTGCGCGTACCATGTAGATAACAATCCAAGCTTCCATTAGGCATTAGCTCATAGATTAAGAGATTGTAATGCTGAGAAGTGAAGTAGCCATGAAGAGTTACAATGTTTCTATGTTTTATATCAGCCATTGCTTCTAACTCTCTATGGAACCCTCTGTCTCTCTCAGAGGTTCCTCTGTTTAGTCTCTTCACAGCAAAAGCTGTAGAGTCATCAATGACTAATCTGTAAACAGTTCCAAATCCACCAGAACCAAGAATGTCTTTGTTATTTAACTTATGTGTCTTCTTCATAAACATGTCGGAAGAAACAGAGTTAAGTAATGGAGATCTAAACATCACCATTTTCCCTCCTCCTTTAACTACAAAATTATTAAAAAAAAATTAGAAGAAATGACTATAAATCACATAAATTTAAGCTAGATATTTTACCTGGAAATCCATTTGTATGAAGTGTGTGTTTCTTCTTCCATCTCTTGTAAAGAAGAAGAGCGATTACGATTTTACCAATTACAAAAGCGACCAAAGAGATTGTTATATACAAAATTGTTTCCTTTGCATTACTAGCCATTGTTTTCTTCTTTTTGGCTTCTGAAATT